TGTATAAAGTGTGTATGTATGTGTGTGCGTACATGGTATATGTTTACACTGTATGTACATGTATACACACATACCTGCAGTCACATTTGTATATACTAGTGTGTGCAGACGTGCACGTAAACATGTGTGCACGTGCATGTTGCATATGCACATTGTATAAATAGCTATGCGTATGAACATGCATACACATATACATATACTTTGCTAGCGTATATGTATAGCCGTATGTATTATATATACACTCTTGCAATCACACGTTTATGTATGCTTATGTGTGCCACATGCATATGGTTCACGTATGACTATAGGCGTGCAATTGTACGTGTGCAAATGTTTAACGATCTGTATATGTATATACAAATACACATATAGATACTACGTACACGTGCATGTTATACATATACATGTAAACGTGTGTATACATCTTATATATCGCCGATCTGGAAATCCATGTGTGAGATACGGACTTTGTATATACACATTGTATATACACGTGTACATGTAGGTGTATCAAATGTATGTATGTATACACCTATACAAGTCCATACGTGCCAATGAATGCCTTTTCCTCATCCTCCTCCCCCTTCTCCCTCCTTTCACTTCCCTTTCGTTTCCGATCGTGACACACAGGCGAAGTGAACTGGTACCGAACCCTGCACCTTACGGACCCCCCCCGGGGGTTCGAACCCAAGGAGGAGGGAAAGCCGACGACGACGACGTCGACGACACGACAGCGGCGGCGCCGACAGCGAAGACAACAACGACGACGAGGACGCGCCGACGACAACGACGACAATGCCGAAACCGACGCCGACGCCGACGCCGACGCCGACGACGACGCCGAGCACGATGCCGACGACGCCGACGCCAACGCCGACGACGCCGAGCACGATGCCGACGCCGACGCTAACGCCGATGCCGACGACGACGACGACGCCGACGAGCACGACGCCGTGCACGACGCAGACCACGACGCCGACGCTGACGCCGACGCCGACGACGCCGCCGACGCCCCCGCCGCCGACGACGACGCCGTCGACGCCGGACGCCGAGCACGACGCCGACGCGGGCGACGACGCTGACGCCGAGCACGACTCCGAGCACGACGCCGAGCACGAAACCGACGACGCCGTTGCCAACAACGACGCCGACGACGACGCCGTCGCTGGCGCCGACGCAGAGCTCAATGCCGAGCACGACGCCAAGCAAGACGCCGACGACGACGACGACCGCGCCGACGCTGACTCCTAGGCGAAGCACGACGCCGACGCCGACGTCGACGTTAGCGACGACGACGACGCCGAGCATGACGCCGAGCACGACGCTGACGACGACGACGCCGACGACGATCTGGCGTTGACGCCGACGCCGACGCCGAAGCCAGCGACGACGCCGACGATGACGGCGACGCCGAGCACGACGCAGAGCACGACGCCGAGCACGACGCCGACGATCGGCGCCGACACCGACGCAGACGCCGACGTCGACGACGACGCCGCCGCCGACGACGACGACGACGACGACGCAGACGCCGACGACAACGAGCACGACGAACATGTCGATAACCATGGGGACAACCATCGGGGCAACCATCGGAACAACCATCAAGACAACCGTCGGGACCATGGGGACAATTATCAAGAATCTCATCGGGACAAACATCAGGACAACGGTCAGAACGACCCTCGGGACACGCAACGGAACACACATCGGAAAAAACATCAATAGGGATTATCCTGGCGAAGGTCCATACCATATGCACTTGTGGGTACCGTAATTGTGAATATCTGCTTCGGTGAAGCTCCCTATGTGGCCACGAAGCGCTGCACTGGGCGGGGGGGGACGCTGTACTGTGTGGGTGGTGTGCCGAAGTGGGTGTGCGGGACGCATGCGGACGGTAGCACTGGGACCTTCGGTTGAGCTCCCTATGGGGCCACGAACCGCTCTACTGAGTGAGTGAAAATGCCAAATTGGGTTTCCGGGACGCATGCGGACGGTCCAACTGGGGGCTTCGGTGGAGCCCCCTATGGGGCCACGAAACGCTGCACTGCGTGGGTGAAAATGCCAAATTACATTTCCCGGACGCATACGGACGGTGGCACTGGGGCCTCGGGTGACGCCCCCTATGGGGCCACAAAAAGCTGCACTGGGTGACAGAAAATGCCAAGTGAGCTTCCGGGACGCATGCGGACGGGGGCACTGGGGCCTTCGGGACGCATGCGGACGGTAGCACTGGGACCTTAGGTGGAGCTCCCTATGAGGCCACGAAACGTTGTACTGGGTGTGCGGGACGCATGCGGACGGTAGCGCTGGGACCTTCGGTGGGGCTCCCTATGGGGCCACGAAGCGCTGTACTGGGCGTGCGGGACGCATGCGGACGGTAGCACTGGGACCTTCGGTAGGGCTCCCGATGGGGCCACGAAACGCTTTACTGGGTGGGTGAAACGCAAGGAGGAGGGGGAGGAGGGCCACGTAACGCTGTCCTGGGTGTGCGGGACGCATGCGGACGGTAGCACTGGGACCTTCGGTGGAGCTCCCTATGAGGCCACGAAACGCTGTACTGGATGTGCGGGACGCATGCGGACGGTAGCACTGGGACCTTCGGTGGGGCTCCCTATGGGGCCACGAAACGCTGTACTCGGTGTGTGAAACGCAGGGAGGAGGGGGAGGAGGGCCACGTAACGCTGTACTGGGTGTGCGGGGCGCATGTGGACGGTAGCACTGGGACCTTAGGTGGAGCATGCAGACGGTAACGCTGGGACCTTCGGTGGGGCTCCCTATGGGGCCACGAAACGCTGTACTGGGTGTGCGGGACGCATGCGGACGGTAGCACTGGGACCTTCGGTGGGGCGCCCTATGGGGCCACGAAACGCTGTACTGGGTGTGCGGGACGCATGCGGACGGTAGCACTGGGACCTTCGGCAGGGGTCCCTATGGGGCCACGAAACGTTGTACTGGGTGGGTGAAACGCAAGGAGGAGGGAGAGGAGGGCCACGAAACGCTGTACTGGATGTGCGGGACGCATGCGGACGGTAGCACCGGGACCTTCGGTGGAGCTCCCTATGGGGCCACGACGCGCTGTACTGGATGTGCGGGACGCATGCGGACGGTAGCACTGGGACCTCCGGTGGAGCTCCCTATGGGGCCACGAAACGCTGTACTGTGTGTGCGGGACGCATGCGGACGGTAGCACTGGGACCTTCGGCAGGGCTCCCTATGGGGCCACGAAACGCTGTACTGGATAGGTGAAACGCAAGGAGGAGGGGGAGGAGGGCCACGAAACGCTGTACTGGGTGTGCGGGACGCATGCAGACGGTAGCACCGGGACCTTCGGTGGAGCTCCCACTGGTGCCACGAAACGCTGTACTGGATGTGCGGGACGCATGCGGACGGTAGCACTGGGACCTTCGGTGGGGCTCCCTATGGGGCCACGAAACGTTGTACTCGGTGGGTGAAACGCAGGGAGGAGGGGGAGGAGGGCCACGTAACGCTGTACTGGGTGTGCGGGGCGCATGTGGACGGTAGCACTGAGACCTTCGGTGGGGCTCCCTATGGGGCCACGAAACGCTGTACTCGGTGGGTGAAACGCAGGGAGGAGGGGAAGGAGGGCCACGTAACGCTGTACTGGGTGTGCGGGGCGCATGTGAACGGTAGCACTGGAACCTTCGGTGGGGCTCCCTATGGGGCCACGAAACGCTGTACTGGATGTGCGGGACGCATGCGGACGGTAGCACTGGGACCTTCGGTAGGGCTCCGTGTAGGGCCACGAAACGTTGTGAAACGCAGGGAGGAGGGGGAGGAGGGCCACGAAACGCTGTACTGGGCGTGCGGGACGCATGCGGACGGTAACGCTGGGACCTTCGGTGGAGCTCCCTATGGGGCCACGAAGCGCTGTACCGGGAGTGCGGCACGCATCCCGACGGTAGCACTGGGACCTTCGGTGGAGCTCCCTATGGGGCCACGAAACGTTGTACTGGATGGGGAGGGGAGGAGGGCCACGTAACGCTGTACTGGGTGTGCGGGACGCATGCAGACGGTGGAGAGGAGGAGGGGGCAGAGGAGGGGAGAACGCGGGGACCGTCTCTTCAAAACGAGGACCCAACACCACAGGATGGTTGGGAACAAACGGGATACCATCGGAGCAACCATCGGAACAGCCATGGAGACAACCATCGGGGCAACCATCGAGGGAGCATGGACCCAAGAAATGGTGTCTTGTGGTGAGATTGAATAGCGAGCGGGCAAGCGCGGTGCATACTCTCCTTCAGGGAATCAGCCGCCCCAGCCCACCTCGAACGTGGGGCTGGTCCACCTTGCACGCGTGAAGAGAGAACCCTGCGTGGGGTCGACACCCTTCTCCGAGATGGAAGACTATGATCTGGCACTCCACGGCGCTGCCGAGCGCTTTCAGGCGATCCCGAGCCCTCACGGATGCGCTCCAGCTTCGCCGGGCGCCCCCCCAAGACTCCCCTGAAGCCCCACCCAGCGCGATCCCCGGCGCTGCTGGGGGCCCCCCGGGAGCTCCACGGCGCCTCCCCCCCTCCCCTTCCCCGCCGCCACCCCCCGCCAGCAGAACGAGGTTTCCGTCTTCAGCTGTGCGGGCTTCCTGGGAAAAAGGGATGTCTTGGCTTTCGTCGCGATCAAGTGCGCTCATCTTCACGAGCGGTACACCAGCAGCTGCGACGTGAATAGTGCCCATCCTCTGCTCCCCTGCCCGCACCTTGTCCTCCCGCCCTTGAGCAGGGACCGACCGCCCCAGCATTCCTATAGTCCTACCACGAAATGTTCTTAGAACCCAACAATGTTCGAATTCCAACAACAAAAACAATGTTCTTACAACATCAACCCGTGTGATAAAACAAAACAGACTCCGCCAGAAATGTTCTACGAACATTTCGTGGAAACCACAAAAGGTCCTTAGAACATTGTTTGGTAGGGCTATAGGCGCGCCAGGACGCTTTGCCACTGCTTGACTCCCTCCCCATCCGTCCACCGCCGGCCTCCGAGCGCTGGTCCGCGCCCCCGGCCTCCAGCGCCCTCCGCGGCAGGCGCTCCAGAACACGGATGACGTCTCCCCGGGTCGCGACGAGCTTGCGCAGGGCCTCCGCGCGCGCGTGCCGCACGGGGCGGCGAGCGAAGGCGGCCGTGGGGCCGGCGGCGGCATCGACGGCGGCCACGTCGGCGGATTGAACTTCGATATTCGTCTTCTTCTTCTGAAGGGGTCCAGGAACAGACAAACAAATAGACGCAAATAACAGGATTCCCAATATTTCCCTATATTTTCTGGGTTTTTGTCTTCCCCCCCCCCACTTCCCATATTTTCCTATATTTTCTGGGGGATCGACGATTAATTGTGTCCGTGTGTTTTTTTCCCTCCTGAGTCTTCTTCTTCTTCTTCGCCCATCTGTCGCGGGCTGGCTTCACGCCCTGGCCAACGAAACCGAGCGCGACGGCGGCGACTGCAGCGGCGTCGACAATGAAGACGTCGGCGGCGGTAGCGTCGGCAACATCGCTGTGGGGCGAGCGCGAATGCGAACCGAGATCGAAAAGTCATGATGCTGTCCCCCTGGCTTAACACTGCGACTCGCGGGAACGTTCGACAACAGGCGGTCCCAACAATCGTCCCTCTCCTCCCTGACCCCCTCCCTTTCTTCCGGTAGTAATTCATAGATATGCAGCTTCGGGGCCCTGGCGGGGCCCCGAAATCACCAGAAGCATTGCGGAGTATTAGAGGAAGAGGGAGTCGGTGCCTACAACCATCCTCGAAATTCAAGGCAAGTTTTTTACCCAACCCCTCGGCCCTTGGCTCCCGAATTTCAATGTTGACCGACGTGCGCAACGCGGCCCGCGGGGGAAGGACAACAGAACTGCACTCGCCAGATCCGGCGCGAACACTGCCATGGAGGGTCGCAGGGGCGCAGTCACGTCGCGAGGGACAAACTTGCATGTGACAGCGAGGAGGAGGAGGAGGAGGAGGAGACGGAGGAGAAGGAGGAGGAGGAGGTGGAGTGGCAGCGCCCGAAGACTGAGGCCTCCCCTCCCTCCCTGCCAGCCCCTGGCCGCCCCGAGTCGTCCTGCCTGCCCCCCCTCTGCCCCCGCCCCCCTCGGAGCTGCCCCGCTCCTGCCCCCCATCACGCCGTCCATCCATCCACCGGCCCGCCCCTGCGTTGCCCCTGGACCTCTGTGAGCCCGTCGGCACCAGCTTTCCTTCGAGGTGTCCCCCTGTCTGCCTACTCGTTCTCTCCTCCTACCCCTTCCGCTCCACGACCCCACCTCCTCCTCCTCCTCGTCCTCCTCCTCCTCCTCCTTGTCCTCATCCTCCTCCGCCTCTTCTTTAAACTGATCTTCATCCTACTCCAGGCCCTCGGTGAGGTCGCTTGACGCTCGAACTGAAGCTTCTGTTCTTTGGCTTGTGCCACCACTGCAACCCAGAAATCCGCCTGCCCCCTTGTGGGGCCACCAGGCTGTAGAGCCAGGGTTTGCTGTTCCCTGCACCAGTTCCAGTTTTCCAGTTTCCACTGTTACAGTTTTGCTTCTTGCTGCTTACTGTTCCTTGTTGATGGACCGCGCGAGGGGGGGGAGTCGAAAAGCGTCCAGATTACCACGCCCGAGCTGCGTTGCCTGAATTCCTGGGGGGGCGTGGGGCACGAAAAAATACACGAGATTCGCGCCCCCCAGGCCATAAACCTCTGTAAGGCCATAAACCTTCGTGAAATACGCAATATCCGCGTCCCCGAAACCATAAACCCTCGCAACATACGCCGTATTTGTGTCCCCGAAACCATAAGCCTTCGTACAATTACATAGTACTTGCGTCCCCGAGGCCACAAACACTCGGAAATCACTCAATATTCGCGCCCCCGAAGCCATAAACCCTTGTAAAAGACGCTGCATTCGCGTCTCCGAAGTCATGAACCCTCGTAAAGTACATGATATTTGCGTTCCCGAGGCAATCGACAATTGAACATTACTTGATATTAGCGCCCCCGAAACCATAAACCCTCGCAGATTACGCTACATTCGCGTATCGGGAGCTATATACCATCAAAAATGGTTCAATCTTCGCGTCTCCGAAGCCATGCACCTGCGTAAATCACATTAGATCTGCGACCCCGAAGCCGTACACCCTCGGAACTTACCCTATAGTTGCGTGTCCGAAGCCACAATGTTCGCGTATCCGAAGCCATACACCTGCGACCCCGAAGCCATACATAAACCCTCGTAAGTTGTGCTATATTCGTGCATCATCACCGTTCAACATGCAACACTGAGTTCAACCATATCATCATAATCTCAAGTTATCTTGCCGATGCTCCTTCACGGCGGCGCCGAGGCCTCATGATTTAGCTCTTGCATAGCCCATTATCCGAAAGGAGGGTCTTTGCGGCAGGAGGCGAAGCCCTTACAGATATTACATGGTTGATGCCGTGATTAAGGACTGCATGCAAACGGAACCAAGGCAGATGTGAACACAAACTCGCACTGGCTATTAGGAAACACATGAAACTTGGAGGTCCACTTGCAGATTCGCACAATTCTGTGCGATTGCCCGGAGCAATCGGGAAACACTGATGCTGAGGATGCTGTTCGTTCGGGAGCCGGGTCTGGATCATCTGTCACCACCATGGAAAAAGCAATCGGCACACATGCAAGAGCAATGGCCACGTGAGAAGGCTCCCCGCGAAAAAGTCACTGGCATTCCAACTGCTGCGCGGTGGAGAACACAGCACGCGCAAGGGTGGAAGGAGAGGAGGAGTAAGAAGGACCGAACGGACAGCAAATCCCAATATTTATCTTAACGTAGCCAGGGTCCTCCTTCACACGCTTATGGGAAGCACTGTGTTTGCGGATGGACCACTGATGCTGGTAATGCGGATGCTACAAGCAACTTATACACGATCGCTTCTACGCGCTTCCTTATGTAGCGTAATTAAAAACGGTTACACGACATATCCCTCAGAGGATCAGAACTTACCAAACAACTCCGTCTTCCACTTTAGGAACGGGCGTATCAACTGCTCCCTATTAGTGAACGCCCTCCCCCACTCGACTGGCCGTCGACCACGAACTATACGGCCCTTCCCCCCGCCATCCTTCTACCCGCAGGCTACGTACCGATCTGACCAGGATTTGGCGGCGAGGGTCCCCCAAGACGCCAAAGATGGCACAAACGAGGCATGGGGGAGGGCAGGGGGGAGGGTTGCCCTCCCCTGCACACTTGTGACACACCAGCCGCCTCGACGTGTTCGAGCCGCCGACACCTGGGCCCCCGGACGCCCGACACCTGCCCCCCTTTCCCGCGAGAGGGGCGAGTTGAGACAACGGCCCAGACCTCCAGATCCTTCCCGAGGTCCAAGCGCACGCTGGGCTCCGCGTGAGGGTGCGGACCGGGCTCTGCATCAGCCCCGAGCTGCGTCCAGCCGTGGCGACGAGAAGGCCCCCACGCGAAGGCCAGCGGCAATTGTCCCAACTCGCCCTCCTCGGACGCCCCACCGCTGCGAAGCCCCCCCACGCTTCGAGGCGGTGCCCGGGTCCTTGCCGGCGTCGTCCCCAGGGCCCCTGCGCGAGCACAGGGACCTGCTGCTTTGCGACGAAGCGTCGCACCAGGACAGGCCGTCCTCTCCGCTCGGGGGGGGGGTGGTCGTCGTCGTGGCCGCCGCCGAGGATCGGGGAGGTTCACAGGACGGAGCGGGTTCAAGGATCGAGGCACGAGGAAGTGCGAGGAGCGAGGTTCGAGGAGTGAGGAGGCTCGACTTGCAGCCCTCTGCTCAAAGTCGTCCTCTTCGTCATCCCGCTGGTACTTCCCCGCCTCCTTCTCGCCCTCTCCATCCCTCCATACCCCTCGGCCAATAACGGCCTCCCTCCACGTCGCCCCCCTCGTATGTTCCTCGTTGGCCTCCGCATTCTCCTCCCTCATCCTGCGCCTCCCTCGTCGTCGTCGTCGTCGTCGTCGTCGTCGTCGTCGTCGTCGCGCAGACATGCGTTTTCGTAGCGACGAGGTTCCAGGATCGAAGATGTAAACTTCCTGCGTTGATAATAAGTTTGGGGCCTCCGGTGACCTGATGAGACCTCCTGAGGAGGGGAGGCAAAGCAGGAGCCCGAGAATCGAGGAGCTTCCTGGATCGTGGATCCACGTTGTTGGACGTATTTGGCCCTGTTTGGGCCCAAGCATGAGGCCTCCTGTCAAGCCTCTGGGGGCCTTTGGGGACTTCCAGAGGCGGCCTTCGAGATTCCCTGCAGACCTCCGACGTTGTGATTATTATTCGATCCCGGTCTGCTTCTCCAAACGTCGGCTTCTGTGGGACATAATTCGGGCCATCGGAAGGCTGCGAAAACGCCGGTCCCTGGGATGGGGGCAAGAATCTGGGGGCAATGTTGCGAACAGAACCCTGACGTCGGAGGTCTACAGAAGCTCGGCAGAAGAGGGGAGGAAGGAGGGCGTAGGAGGGCAAGGGGAGGCTCGGGAGAAGGAGGGCATGAGGGAGGGAAGAGAGAGAGAGAGAGAGAAAGGGAGAGAAGGGTGGGAGGAGGGTGGACGGGAGGAGGAGGGGAAGAGGAGGAGGAGGGGGGAAGAGGAGGAGGTGGAGGAGGTGGTAAAATTGGACAGAGGAGGAGGAGGAGGAGGAGGAGGAGGAGGAGGAGGAGGAGGAGGAGGAGGAGGAGGAGGAGGAGGAGGAGGACGACGGTGAAGACAAGCTGGGCGGGGGGGGCGCGAGCAGAAGAGCGAAGGGAGGGAAGGGAGTAGTACTGGGGACGAGTAATGGGGGCAGAGGAGGGGCAGGGGAAGGATTTTGGATTGCATTCCCGATTCGCCGTCTCGGCTGTCAGATGATGGCGGCGCTCGCTGGCTATAACTACGCGCAGACATGCAACGAGTAGAGTATTCGCATCGGCACCAAGCGTGGGTGAGACCTCACACCCGTCTCCTGCCCAGTCACGAGCCTATCATAAACCACTAAGACGCGGAGGAAGGAGGAATGGGGAGGCATAGATGATAACCGAGAGGAGAAAGTAAGACTGGGACGCAGATCCAGACCTTCCAGCTCGGTAGGAGGGCAGACCGAGGGAGTGAGACGCGAGTAGGCTGCATGACCACTCCGACCTGGCTGCGCTCCGATAAGGCGGCGCTGCACAAAGAACGTACAACAACAGCTCGTTTTCCTGAGAGGGGAAGGAAACAATCTTCGCGCCCTAACGCCCGAAACGCAAGACGGGACGGCGGCGGAAAACCGCGCGATCGTCCCCATGCTAGACCGAAGGAGGGCGCGGGAGGGCAGATCCGGCACGCCAAAAAGCTCGGCGACATCTACCCTTCAACCTCCGTCCTCGAACACCCCCTGTCATAGGCCAGCATCTGGACCGACAGCGGGCCGCACACAGGAGCGACCACCGTGGCTGGGGCACTTGACCACGCGGGAGGGAGAGGAGGGGAGGAGGGAAGGATAATAAATACGCGAGGACGACTAGGATTGAGGGGGGACCATACATGTGGGTCACAGACCTGCGTGCATCATACTCTACCTGCACATCCAATCAACAAATCGATGTTCTGCGTTCGGTCCCATATCCATTCCAAACCTAGCATGGGGAAGGGAGGTCTGATGGAGGCCGGCAAAAATACGTGCTCACTGCAGGGCACACTCTGAGAGAATCTCTCGCTGATCGAGCGTGGATGGGCGAAGCATGGAATCAAAGGCGGGAAGGAGGCATTCGTAGAGAAGACAGAGCCCCGGGCTGTACACAGTGACGCACATTACGAGCAAAAAAAAATCTTGAACAACACTGCTGATGTGATCAGACTGCGCACTACAAATGTTCACCCAAGATCGCGAAATACGAACCAATTTCCAACGCGTGCCGAAGAGGACGACGTTCTGCCGCACCGTGGGATGCCCATGCACGCGCTCCTCGCGCACCTCGGCCGGGGACGCGTTCACAGCTGGAGTCGGGGTGGGGCCCGTAGGCTGCCGCGCCACCTCCCCATGGCCCCGAGAGGGGATGCTGGGGGGGAGTGGCTTGCCCACCTCCGCGCTTGCAGTTGGCAGCGGGGTTGGGCCCGCAGGCTGCCGCGCCGCCTCCCCCGGGCCCTGGCAGGGGACGCCGAGGGATGTGCTTGCCCACCGCCGCGGTGCGACCATTCCGCCCGTCAGACTGAAGGCGCCCCAGAGAGTCTGGCAGACCGCGCGGGAAGAACATGGCAGCGATCGCCATCATAGCAAGGCGGACCTTGAGTGTCCCAGCGACCAGCTGCATCCTCGCGTCGGCGTGGCTGGGCATCAGCACAATGAAACCGGAGTCGCCAGCCGCCGCGCCGATGTCCACGGACTGTTTCTGGGACAGCTCGCAAAATGCGCCGTGAACCAGAACTCGCGTCCAGCATGCCGCGGGGGTTCAGGGTGCTCGGGACAAATAGCCCGGCAGCGCAGAGGTGGTCTCGGGATTGAGATCGCCCGCCATGGACGCTAGCATGGAACCGCGGCCGTGCGTGGGCTGCAACTGCCTGCTGCTAGCGAGGCGCTCTTGGCTGGGTTCCAGCTCTCCGCGCCCTCCTCGTCAACCGCCGTCTCAGCAGCCAGCGCGTCCTCCGAGGCGGGGTCCCGAGCCTGGGCCTCTGGGGCGGCAGGCGGCACAGTGGGGCCCGGGGAGCAGATCGCCTGGCACTTGTCCTCGTGGCGGGGCTGGCCACGCCTCCGCCGCAGGGGCCGCAACATGTGTCAGAGCTGACCCCATCTCCGCATGGCTCCGCGCATCCGGTGGCACGGCGCCAGCGGGACGCACAGGAGGGCCAGCACGAGGTAGAACATGAGCATCGTCCACGACTGCTGCATCATCATGTGCATCATGTGCGGGTGGAGGCGGCAGCGCGCAGGCCGGCTGCAGCCAAGGCGGCGGTGGCCGACTGGGAGCCGGGGGCGGAGGAGCACCAGCGTGTACACGAGGAGCATCCGCAGGAAGGGCCTTGCCAGCCGGGGCCTGGGCCGCCTCGCACGTCTTCCATCGCTTGTATACCGGCGCCTCAACATGCGGCACGAGCTCCTGGAGCAGGAAGTCCACGGCCGTCACGTCGAGGCCACACCCCATCAGGTTGCGCACGGCCAGCGCCTGCACCTGCGCATGCCGGACGGCCACCTGGCACGCCCGGAGGCGTCGTTGGCCAGCAGCGGAGGCAACACCAGATGGGCGGCACAACAGTTGGCAAGACATCAGCAGGCCGCCATGGCGGCGCGCGCAGCGCGGGACCTGGCGGCTGGCAGCAGCGGCGCCGGCCAGGGGAGGCTCGTCGCGGTCAGGCCTGCACGCCACAGGGGCGCGGGCCGCCGCGCATGGCAGCTGCCCCGAGCGAGGTTGGCGGATGCATGGTATCCGCGCCCAAAACCTCGAGCCAGGGCGGTGGCTGCAGGGGGAGGGGGGAGGGAGGAGTGGGGGCAGGGAAAGCTCGGGCGAAGGTACCCCTGGCCCAAGGTGCCCGCAGCTTTTTCGCACCGTTTTGGACCCATTGGGCCCTCTGGGCCTCGTGAGAGATTCTCTGAAGGCCACGAGGGCCTCTCTGGAGATTTTCTGGGGGCATACAATCAAAAACCCTAATAAGGACGCGCGGTAAGGACGCAAGACCCTTGGAAGCCGAAGTTGGGATTTTTGGGGCGGCGGACGACGAAAACCTCAAGGACGCAAGCGCAAGGAAGAGCAAGGACGCCAGGGTACCCTGAGCAAAGTCGCGCGTCCTTATTAGGGTGTTTGACTGTGTTGGGGCGGGGAGGCCGGACCATGCTCGAGGGCTGCTGCCAGAGGGCTGCTCAGCCAAGTCCCGCCCTCAGGCCGCAGCGCCCCCCGCCACGTGCGCCCCCCGCCCGTGGGCCTTCGGGCCACCTCGGCTGGCGGGCGGGAGGGGTCCCTGCGGGCGGCCACTGCGCGGCGCGACTGGGGGGGAGGGGCGCGAGGGGGAGGCGCGGCGCGGGAGGGGCGGGTGGCTGAGGAAGGGGCGGGAGGGGCCAGGGAGGGGCAGAGGGGTGGGTGGGGGGGGGCAGAGGGGAAAGGTTAGAGCACGCTATCGGACCTCCTCCGGAGCATGACAGTGCATCTGCGGGCGGCGTCCTCCGATTACGCCCCGCCTCAGATGTGCATGATCTGAACGGCTTGACAGGCGCTCCCCGCGTCTGATCGCGACTCCACGCTGTTGCTGCAGACGCGCTGCCAACGCTCGCGAAGTTGTACCGACTCCTCACTCCGCATTGCACTTCACGCGAAGCCCATTCCAATCCTGCGACGGGAGCCTGGGGTCCAGACATCCCGCAGAAGCCTTCGATCACCACGCTTCCATCAGCGGAGCTCACAAAGTACATGCGTATCGCGGACGCCTCGTCGCCACAGCCAGGCGCGGATCGGAGCACAGGTCAATGCGATGCTTCCGAGGGGACTGGGGATCGGCGCCTAGCGGATTTCAAGATGGAGAGCCCGATCGGCCTCACATCCTCCTCCTCCTCCTCCTGCTGCTCCTCTTTCTCCAGATCCTGCTCCTCCTCCTCATCCTCCTCATCCTCCTGCTCGAGGCGGCACCCAGCGGCGAGCTGCGTTGGCCAAGACCGCCCGTCAGAAACACACGACCCATGGGTACCAAGCGAATCTCCGAATGAGCGTGTTCCCGGAATCGGCAGCCGCCTTCTTTCTCCGTCAAGGCGCTCAGTCCACAGTGCGAAGAGGCATCGTGGGCAGCAGGCAAATGGCCAAGGAATGATGGTAGTCTTTGTCTTCTCCTGATCCTCATCATCGCCATCATCTCACACCTTTGCTCACTCTCCTTCCTATACCTCCCTCCCTCGCGCCGTCCCTCTCCTCCATTCGTCCTCATCCCTCCTTCCTCTCCTGCAGCCCAACGCACGGTGTAACTTGCAAAACATAGAAACTCGTTCGTCCCTCCTCCCGCCGCTCTCCTCCATCCTGCATCTTCACTCCTTTCCTCCTCCATCCCATCATACCTCCAGCCTCCGGCACCTTCCCTCTTTCCTCGTCCGTCTTCCCTTCTATGGGACCTTTTCCCTCCACTTCACTTTCGTCCACCTCTTTAGCCTCCCCTGTCTTTCGTCTCCTCGTTCAGCCTTCATCTCCTCTCTCCTCTACTTCCTCCATCCTCACTCCTCTCCTCGTCCGCTTCACCTTCCACTTCGTCATCACCATCACTCATCACTCCCATTCTCATGCGCATCGTGTCATCCTCTGCAAAGTCATCTTTCCCTTCCCCCGTCTCCTCCTCATTTTCCTCCTCGTCATCCTCGACGCCAAAATATGATATCGCCCTCGTCCTCCTCCCTCTCCCCCCTTCCGCCGCCTCGTCCGGGCCGTTCTCTCCCACCCTGCCCGCTGCCCCCAGCTGGGCTGACGGGAGCGCGCCGTCAGGGGCACGCCGCGGGCGACACGGCGGGGTGAAACCTCCGCGGCGCGGCGAACACCAGGACCGCGAGGGCGCACGCCAGCACGAAGACGGCGTCCACGCCCGGCTTGGCGAGGACCTCCAGGCTGCCGCAGCCCCCCGCGCCCGCGCGCTCGGCTCCGGCGCCGGCGGGGTGCGCCACCTCCGAGGCGGCGGCGGCGGAGCCGCTCGCGGCGGCCGGCGCCGGGGCGGCGCCCGAGCGCTCGGCGGTGGCCAGCAGCAGGCCCTCCGGCAGCTGGCCCACCTCCAGGCTGCTGGCCCCGAGGTCCGTGCTCACGCAGAGGACGCCGCGGCCGCTCCCGGCCTGCTCCAGAACGTAGCGGCGGCCCCCCACGGAACGCAGGCGGCCGAAGGGCGCCCCCCCGGCCAGCCGCACCTCGAGGCTCGCGTCCACGCTCACCAGCTCGGCGCCGCCGGGGCCGCGCTCGACGACCTCCAGGACCCTCCGCAGCTGCCCGCCCAGCTCCGCCCAGCGCAGCGACGCGGCGAGCAGGGGGGTTGCGGGCCCCGTGCTGCGGTCCACCCGCAGCGAAGGCGACAGCGCACAGAGGTCGATGGGGCAGCTCCACGCCGCGAGGTCTGGCGGAGGCATGGGCACTGACAGCCGCACGCCGCCAGAGGCCCTCATGAACTGGGGGCACACCTCGGGGAGGTCGGCGCTGCCGGCGCCGGCGTCCGGCCGCCCCTCGGCCCTCGGATCCCCACCGGGCGCTGCTCCGCGCACCTCCTCCGCCAGCTTGGTGGCGCCCGCGGGAGCCGCCAGCGTCGCCGCCCGGCGTCGGGAGCCCGCGAGCCCACAGGCGAAGGCGCACGCAACCAACATCAGCACCGTCGCGGGAGACGAGGAGGCCGCGATGAGCGACCGCCACAGGACGGCCTCCGCGCCGGCGCCGTGCGGCTCGGGGCGAGGCCCCAGAGGGGCTGCCGGGACAAGCGGCGGCTCCGCGGGCGGCGGGCTACCGTCCTGAAGCCAGCGGTCGGAGATCAGGAGATGCCTCGCCTGGAGGACGGTCACGGGGGAGCCTGTCAGCGCCGATCCAATGATCGCCCGGCACGCGAGGGGCAGCGGTGGCATGCCGAGGTTTGCTTGGCTAGACGAGGAGGCGCTTGTGACGAACGGACATGCAGCGGCGTGGTGTGTCAGTCTCGGACATGGTTCCCGTGTCACACCACCCTTCTGTTGGGCCAAAATGTCCAATCATCGACAACTCGCCGTCCTTCTAAAGGGAAAATGCTAGGAACATACATCGCACTGACGGGGGGGGACACTCATTAGGAGCCCTGGTGTTTGCATGCGTAAGCCCGAGGTAAAGTTTTTGGCTCTCTGGTTATGCATCAATGGGTTGGAGACGAATCCGCCGACACTGTCAGCGTGTGTGGGGTGTCTGTCCGGTCCCGTCGACGTAGTGCTTTCTTTCGTCCCCTCCTTCTCATCCTCCTCTCCCGTCGGAGGAGAGAAGGAGAGAAAGAGAGAGAGAGAGAGAGAGAAACAAAAAAAAACACCCTTCCTCGTTCGGGGAACGGGTTCGCAGCTTGAGGGAATTCCATCCCCGTCCTCACTACGTCAAAGGAAAGCCCCTTCCCTTTGTCCCTTCCCCGGCGGGGGGGGGGGGGCGGTCCGGGGGGGAGGAGTCAGATTCGCATCGCCTCTGGGGGTCCTCCTCTCCCACGCCTGTCTTTCTCTGGCGCGCCAGTCCTCCTCGGGTCCTCCTCCCCAGATGGGGAAGAGTCCAATGGGGGGAGAGGGGAGTCAGATACGCATCCGTCCCTGGGGGTCCTGATCCCCCTCCCCTCCCCTCTCCCTCGCCGATCCTCCTCCGGTGCTCCTCCCCAATGGGGAGGGTCCCAGGGGGGGGTCCTTTTGCTCCTCCTCCTCCCTTCTCGTCCTCCTCCTCATTGTCTCCACCTCCTCCTCCTCCTCCTCCTCCTCCTCCTCCTCCTCCTCCCGCATCCGCGAGAGACCACCCCCAATGCGCGCAAACATCCCACCCAGCACCCTCCCGAATTTTCTTGTCAAAACTCAACTAGGAGGCGACTGTGACGATGACGATGATGATTTTCATGAAGAAAGTGGGGTCAATTTCGACAACCACGGTGGTGATTGTGATGAAGCTGATGGTGACTATAATGGCAGCGGCAACGATGACTCGACTCTTCTGATCATGGTGGTTGAGATGATGATTATCATGATGATGATGATGCTGAGAAGGAGGAGGAGGGCCAGTGTAAACCCAAGACGCACCAACATGCTGCAATACTTTTCCCTCGAAATTCCCTCTTCATGGGACCATACAATTCGCCGGCCCAACGGGCCAGAGGCGTGCTAAGATCTCCGGTAACTATTTAACAATATTACTAGTTCGCGCGCGCGGGGCGGCCCCTGGGGGGCCCCGGACGAAAAGAGTACCCCGGCCGATCCCCGGTTGATCCCCGGGCGATCCCCAGGGGGGAGGCTATTTTTCGCCACCCCTCACGAGGATCGTGGCCTCCGAGGGGGGGGGGCGCCAACGACTACCCCCCCTCCCGCCCCAAGGGGCCCCCGAGAGCCCCCCAAGAGGCCCCAGGGGAGCCCAATACGCCGCCAAGGAGCCCCAAGACGCTCCCAAGAAGCCCTCAAGAAGCCCCCAAGACGGCCCCAAGAGGCCCCAAATAGCGCTCCAGGGCCGGCGGAATAAGCGAAGCGATTCAATAACTCATGTTCGCTGCTGGTAGCCCCCCGTTTGAAGACAACCGTCTGAGAACCTCCAGTTATACCAAAACACAACTGCTTCGACTTCAACGACGCGGATCAACTTCACTGGTGCGACCGAACGATTGCGCATCGTGCAAAAACTCCTGGAACTGCTGCACAACGAATCAACGTGACTCGTGCGCCCTGGCAATCTAATCAAATGCCAGAATACACTTCCCGGGACGTCAACTGTAAAACTCCTGTCGCACTGCTGTAGATTTTGACGTGAAGACGCGCGGCGCAAAAAAGAAAGAACCACGTGTCGAACAAGGCCCGCCCTCCATCCGTGAAGCCCGCACGCAATCAAAACGATTGTGATCGACGCTGGGGCGAGAACCACACTTTGAAAAAGTACCGACCGCCATCGCTAATTCTTGAAGACGACGAATGCGCGCGGAACTGATGCGATAACCATATCTTCAAAACGACCCACCCACCGTCCGTGAAACTCTGGCAAACTCTTAAAACACGTTTTTGAAACGAACGTGCAAAGTCAAACAATGGTTACTCCTTGATTCAACCCAATCACCATCCGTGAAACCCTTACAAATTTCTAGAATGCGTGCGTGCGGCACTTAACCGGACATCAAGATTTGGAAAAAGCCCAACCCCCTCCGTGAAATGATTGCACACTTCTACAGCGCATGCGCGCAAAACCAAGGCGACAACAACACGTTACAAACGACCCGCTCGTCATCCGTGAAACTCTTGTTACATGTTGACAAGAATGTGCCTGGCACCACGCACGAACCACTTTTTGAAAACCACCCGCCCTCCATCCGTGAAGCTCTTGAAAGAGTTTGCAACGAATGTGCGCGGCGTTCAAACAAGAACCACATGTTGAAAACCAGCCAGCCTCCATCCGAAACAAACCCTTGCAAACGTTTAAGAAGAATGTGTTCGGCGTTGTTGGCGAAAATTACACTTTGAAAAGAACCCCCGCCTCCATCAACATACTCGGGCATGGTTTTTGAACGGTGCGCGCGGCGCCAACGCGAGAACCACATGTTGAGATCGAACCGAACTTGTAGGGCGAATACGCGCGGCGCTGCGGCGATACCCACTTATTGAAAATGATTTGCCCTCCATTCGTGATAGTGCCGGGTGCGTAGTGGAACGAGTGTGCGCGGCGCCACGGCGGGAACCACATGTTGAAAACGAGCTGCACTCCATCCGTGAAGGTGCGGCAATGTTTGACAATCGTGCGCGATGCGTTTTTGCAAAAAAACACCATTGAAAAAAGGAGCCGCCCGACAACTGTGGAACTGCTGCAATCTGCGTTGAGCGAGTGCGCGCGGCGTTGAATCGAAACCCGCACATTGAAAACGAACCGCCCACCATCCTGGTGAAAGAAAAGTGTGCGGCGCATGGGCGGAAATCGCATTTTGAAAACGGCCGGCACCCCATCCGTCCGTTGCCAAATCGAACGTTTATGACTATCATTGGCGACATAATCTCAAGCAACACGCCCAACCCACCCGACTGACAAGTCTCCATGAGCGACAGGGATGACTTTTTCACGTGGGAACAGAATGGAAGCTCGTGGGGAAGCGCGCACAAACATCGAACAACGGCGACGACGACGATGGCGACGATGACGACGGCAGCGGGCATGATGTCGACGGCGATGCAGACGACGACGATGGCAACGATGACGGCGACAAAACTGAACACGGAACACTACAGGCACTAGAGAAATAAATGCGGGCGGGGAAAGAATTTGTTCCAGAAGCGGACTGCACAGCGGAATGTGAAAAGTGCCTAGGAGCGGTGACTAGCGGGCGCGAATGGAAGGTTTCTTTCTGCAAACAGCGGCGGAAACGCCGGCGGCAGGGGGAGTGAGACGCGCAAGGCTACCGGTCGAGTCTTGTGCTCAAGCGAGTTCGTCGCGACCTCGCAGGCCCCTCCGCGCGCGCGCCGCGCAAGGAACTGCCGCGCGAAATTCTGGGCCCCCAAGGGAAAAAGACAACTGGTGGAGCACATGCAAGAGCGCGCGGCTGCTCAACTGACGTCGTCAGCTGATGGGTCGCTCACCCAAGCGCTCGCTTCCTCGTAGCTCTCGTCCGTCATTGCCCGCGTAACTACTGCTGTGTCAGGGGGCTGCGCTGGAAACTCGCGGTGGCCTTCTTCTTCTCGTCGCCGAACTTCGCCGCGCAGTGGTCATAGCTGATCTGGCCGTCCATCGCGCTGAAGACGGGCCCCTGGCCCATGCGGCCATTGGTCATGGGGTCGGCCAGCGTGCCCCGAGCGTCGGTCCGGGCGAAGTCCTCGACGTGCTTCGCGCGCATCTGCTCAGCTCGCCGCCGCAAGTGGCCCGCCGCGTTGTCGGCAGGCGGCCGCGCCCGGTCCACGGGCGGGGCGCCGAAGACGGACATGCCGTCGTTGACGGGATCTTCAGAAATAGCGCGACCTCCTTCCCCCCGCGGGCCCCCGATCTCCCCGGCAGAGGCGGGGCCGCGGGCCGTCTCGCGCTGCGCGAGGAGGCGCGAGTGCACTCCGTCGGCCGCGCCGCATGCTGCGAGCAGCTCTAATTCGCCGAACGAGGAGCTGCGCGCCAGCCTCTGCGACGGGCACTCCGCGCCCAACGAACGGCGCGCCTGTTTGCCAGCGCGGCGTCGCGTGCCGAGATGGATGCGCGGTTCCCCTCACGCCGCGCCCTGTCTCCCCCCCCCTCCTGAACGACCCGTCGCTGCGCGCGCTGAGTCGCCCGGCGCGCTCAATGGCCGGCAATGCGTTGCGAGCAGGGAGGAAACAAGAAAGGTCTGGAAGCTGACCTCCGGCCAGCCCGTCAGCCTCTGCCCCGACCAGGTCGACGCGTTCGATCGGCATCGGCGCGTCGACGTGCTCGTCCTGGTCGAGCGTCACGGCGTCATTGGCACTGCAGTTCTGGCGCGCTCCGCAGTTGGCGAAATCGCCATGTGTCCAGCGACCTTCAGGTCGTCTACGTGCTTGGACAACGCGGGCAATTTCGCCGAGACGCCGTGGCCGCCAGCATCTGGCGTCTCGTGCTTCACCTCAAACTCTGGGCCCCGCCTGGCGGGTTTGGCGCCGCGCGCGACCCGGGCGAGCTTCGCCGAGAAGACTCGGAGCTCGTCCTCGCCGCCCGCGACCGGCTCGATGCAGCGCAAGCACCCAGTCTGCTGTTCGCAGCTTTTCGCAGCCAGGCGCCTGCCAGAGGATGGCCCAGCTGCCGCGCAGAAGGGTGAAATTCACATCGCGGGGTGTTCCGCCTTGTTCCTGCATCTCGGAGCAGGTCGCGCCGGCGCTGCAGCGGCGCCGCCTCGACGCCCGCGGCGGCGCGCGCCTGGCCTGGGCGGCGCGCCGCCGCCGAGGATAGCGAGCGCTGCGACGCCCGCTTCACCGCCTCTGCGAAAGTCCCCAGGGGTCCGGCGCCCGTGTCGCGGAAGCCCCTCAGCGCCGCGCGGCGCCGGATGATCTGGGCAGTCGAGCCGTCTGACCCCGTCCAGTGCTGCCACTTTGAGACGCGTCTCGAGTCCATTGCAAGTCGGGCGGCCATGAGCGGCCGCCTCTCGGAGCATCTGAACTTGCAGATGGCGTGTTCTTCGAAGATGGCTGCCGCGACCTCCTTGGCACCCTCGACGCTTCCTCGCTGGTCTGAATGTCGGCGTTCGCGCTCGATGACCGCGGTCTAAACGGCGGCGCAAATGCTACGCGCGGCTGTCGGGGAGCGCGAGCGACGCAGTCGCTGAATGCTCCCTCGTTGAAGCTCAAGAATGCTCGGCGCGCCCCTGGGTCAGGATGCAACTCGCGCGCCTTCCTCGTTCGCGTCCGTCCCCTGCCGCGGCGCATTCGTCCATGGCGGCCCCGCGTGGGCAGTAGTGGCGCTGCGCGTGGATGCTCTGGCGCCGGCGCTGCGCGTCGAGGCGCCGGGGCCACTCGCGGGGCCCACGGCCTGGGGCCGTGGCGCGGTCGACAGCAACGTAGACATTCTGCTGGCTGTCGGCGCCCTCCAGCTCTTCGAGCTCCTGGGGCAGGCCTGTCCTGTTGGACGCGGTCCAAGTGAAAAGCCGACAGGGCCAACGGTGAACCGCCCTCGGCGGTGCTGGCGGCATCCTCGGGAAAGCGGGCGACAAAATAATCGAACGAACCAGCAAAATCCTGTCCGGCATCTGCTACTAGTAACGGCTCGTATAAAGCCAGCCGTTCGATTAGAAAGTCTCGTCGGAATTGTGTTTGCGACTTGTCTGCGTTGATGCATAGCGACGTGATGGCCCGCTGGCGCGAAGGGCAAGGACGCTGCGCTATTTGCCACCCTCACGTAGATAGGCCCGTGGAAGGGGCCTCCACTCATGTTCAAAAAAGAAACGTCGCGCAGGGGCGTCGCCGATAAGATCCACGCCGCTGGTAAAACTCCTGCTGCAGGAATCCAAGGTTCCACGCTCGTTTGGCTTCGGCGGGCTGAATCGCCGAGGGGGCGCCGATCGCGCAGAAGCGTGGCTCTGGAAGCCGAGATCATGCGGCAAACACGGCCGTGTCCAAGGGCAGCATGGTTGCTTCGGCCATGGCCAAAAATGCTTGCATCCGTGCGTCCGTTTTACGTCAGCTCGTCATTGCTGTTGTCATTCGTTCAACCACGTGTGATCGCGCATTGGGTTCGCGAAGAATGGTGTCCAGCCCGTCGATCCTAGAGCCATGTTAACGCAATTGTCCTAGCGAAACTGAAAGTTCAACGTGTGGAGCAGCCTGGGCGCCTTGAGCGATCGATCGTGCTTCAGTTTGAGGGAGGGCGGTAGCGAGCTCCATCTGTGCAGTGAAGAGCCCCTTCAATATATTTATATGTATATATTTATACACATACATACATACACACACATATATATACACAATATATACATTACCGAAACTGCCCTCATGACCGGTTGGTGGCAGCATGGGCGGTGGTGGCGTGGCACATGGTTGGGAATCCGTCGCGTCGAAAGGTGTGGCTGGCTTGGCGGCCGACCCTGCCCAGGAGTCTGCTCCTGCTTGATGAAAGAGGGTCTGGCCGCTGTCGTTGCTGAGAGAGGAATGTAGCAACACGGTCCCAATCGTAAGACATACGTTGTTGTTCGCTGCGTTGCTGTCGTGCTAGCTTTGCGGCGCCTCCTGATGGACCACGGCGTCGCCCGGGGGCACCTGTCGTACCACTTTGTTGATGAGATTGCCGAGGCTGGGGCTCTGCGTTCGCAAACACGATGCTCTGTGATTCTTTCTCGGGCCAAAAGAATGCGGGAGGCTTGTCGTCTGAATCGATGACCACGGTCGCTGCGAGATCCACTTGTGTGCTCCTTCTCCCATGGGCAAGCTGCTCCCTTTGATGGTCATGGGTCGAGTTGATGCACCAAAACCGTTTGCTGCTGCACGAAGAGCTCTGCAGTTTTGAGTACGATTGCCGATTGAGACTATGAGCACTGCTCTCGGCGGGCGGTTGTAACATGTTGATATGAAGGGCGTGTCCTTGAGGACGCTGGATATGTAGGGACGCCGTTTGAGCTGAGATGCGCTTGTGTGCGCGGCGACTCGCCGCTTGATGTCGCTGCGAAAACACTCAAAACTGGATCGATCGGAAGGGAGTCAGTCCCCGCGTAGGCTGTTGAGGACGCCATATGCTTTGAGCCAACTTGTTCGAACCATAGTGGCAAAGGAGGGGACGAACAGGTTCAGCAGGAGGAGCCACAACAAAATAAGGATGAAGAGGATGGTGTTGGAGGCGAAGGAGCAGGAGGAACATGAATAATGAGACCAGGGGGAGCGTGCGATACGATATGGGGTAGCAACAGGAGCAAAAACAACATGCTGATAAGCTGATGGTATGGGATGAACAAGAATAAGGGAAGGACGCCTGAACAACAACAAGTATAGCAGGACGGCCAACTGCCGGGCCCACCACTACAACACAACAGGCGGCACTGGGCAGACAGTAACTTGGGACGCGCGCTGCGTCGCCTCTGCCGCTGACTGCTGAGCTAGCCAGCGGGTCGCGTCGCTCGGCGGGACGTGAAGGTGGGGAACGGGCAAAAGGCGGGACTACAGAAAAACCATTGCCAACACCCCCAGAAAACGGAAACATGAGCATCCAGCCGGGTTCGCTCCCGAACCCCACCTTGGGACAACACCTCCCCCTCCACGAACCCCCGAATCGTGGCCCCTCCGCTCCTGGACTGGACCTCGGCAGCGCCGAGCCTCGTCTAGGAGTCCCCCCTCTGCTTACGGGGGCCTCCGCGGAGGCGAGGTGATGAGGCCAGGAGGAGGGCTCGCCATCCGCGGTGGAGGAACGCTTCGGCCGCCGCGCCGTCGCGGGGCGGCTGGCGGGGCGGTCCTCGTCTGCAGGCGCCGCATCGACCGCCAAAGAAACCTGTCGGGCCGAGCGGGGCCCCTCCCACAGCGGGGGGGGAGAGGAGGAGGACTGGGGGGGGAAAAAGGAGGAACGGTTTAAATGGGCCCAGGGCTTGGAGATCCAGAATTCCTGGGCGATTCCGCGCTTCCAGCCATCGTCGCGTGATTCTCCGGAAGTGCCAAACCACAACGCAACCTGATGAAAGTTTGCCCATGGGTGTGTGGCCTGTTGTGGGAAAACCCGTGGGTGAAAGGCCTGCGCCGGCTGGCCATCCCCGATGTCCTTCCTCTTGGTTGCGTGGCTCCTTGGTCCTGGTTCCTTGCTGCCTTCCTCCGGTTTCTTGGTCCTGGTTCCTTTGCCCCTGGTGTCTTGGTTCCTGTTGTTTTTGTACTAGTGGCTCCTTGGAGCTGGTTCCTTGCTGCCTCGCCACGCCATCCCCACCAATGCCAAGCATTCCAGGCAACGCAAAGCAATGACATGCCATGCCGAGCTACGCTACACAAGACACCAAGCAGTACGCCACACAATATGCCAAACGATGCCCCTAGTTCTGCCCCGAGAGATGCATCCATTCTGCTGGTGTCGCGGTGGCGAGCACCCCGCCCACGTCCTGTGGCTGGGCCTCGGCAGCGGAGCGAGACAGGCAAGGGAGGTTGTCAGGGCTGGCCCGTCGGCCCCACGGCGCTTCCAACAGACGCCCCAAGGGAGGTCATTAGGGCTGGTCTACTTTGGAGTCCCGAAACGGTGCGGTGACAGACCGTGCGGTGACCTCGAAATCCCGCAAGACCTCACCGCACGGTCCGTCACCGCACGGTCTTGGGACCCCGGAGGCCCCTGTCGCCCGAGACATCCTCGGAGAACGCCCCGAGCCCCAAGACCGTGCGGTGACCCCGAGTCCCCACCAGCTCACCGCACAGTGTGGTCACCACCCCGTTTGGGGGCCTCCGATCTACTGGCCCTAGCTTTGGACGTCCGAAATGGGTACGGGAAAAATGGGTACAATGCCCAACAACAAATGTTGTCCCAAACCAACAGCGGCCGCTGTTAGGCAGGCGGCCTTCTGTCTCGAATGGACACAGGCCGCGGCGGCGTGGACAGCGAATCCTGTTCAAAATGAACAGGAACTGCTGTTGGGCATTGTACCCATTCTTTTGGTACCAATTTCGGGCGTCCAGACTAGCGAACGCCCCACTGGGGCTCCAGCACTCTCCAAGCCCGCAGTCGCCATGGCGGGCTCCGCAGGCGGACGTGTGGTGCCATGCGTCCCCTTGCTGGCGCAGCGCGGTGCCGAGCGCCCCGCCGGCGCCCTGTGGCTGGACCCCCACAGCGGGGCGGCACAGGCCAAGGAGGTTACTAAGGATATACCAGCCTGGAACATATCCCTATCCCTATGTTGGGCATCGCCTCATCACGATGGCGATCCTAGGGATTTCCTCAGTTTCTGAGGGTGTATCCCTAAGATTGTCATCTCCTTTTAGCGTGCCAATCTTAGGGATAGGGATACGTTCGAGGCTGGTGAAGGATGGCCCACTGGCCCCAGGAAGCCTCCAGCCAGTTTCCAGACTTCTCCCGAGCTCGGCCTGCTGCTCCCCCTGCCCTTGCTTCGGAGTGCCCGTGCAAGATCGAAAGCACGAGAGTCGGCGGTGGACAAACCTCCCTTTAGCAAACCTCCCCTCAGTGAAAACGGCCCGGGACCGAAACCGACGGACCTGGACCCGCAAAAATGACAGCCGCGACGCCCTCTCGCGAACCGAGAACGGCCAATTCCTGAATCGACGTGTCAGGGTAGGAGGTCGGTTCCACCTCCGAGAGCGCCACGGGGGGAGGGCACGCTCCAATCCGACAGGCGCGCATTTGCGCTCCGAGGCCCAAGCCGGAGCTTGGCCCTGCCCCGGAGGCCCCGGGAGGGCGGCAAGAGCATAGTGTCAAGTCGGGCCTGCCCCCCTACAGGGGGGGATTTTCGACGAAAATAACAAATACCAAAAAATACACCCAAAAGCTAAAAGATACAAGCAAAAATAGTCCCCTGACTATTTTTTTACTATTTTCGAATCTTCCCCCTGTAGAGGGACATGCCCGACTTAAGCATAGTGCTTCGCGATACCCGCAATGCAAAGCACGAGCACTCGGGCGACCCAGTGGGAACGGCGGAGGCCCTGAAGGGGCCAGGAGCTCCGGAGCCCAGGGCAGAGATCATCCCGCCTCAATCGGACGCGTACTCGTGGGCGTCACCCCTTCGGGTGTCTCAAGAGATGGCCGGCACCTCATACTGGTGGCGTCTGGGCTGGTGGGCGTGGGGCCACGCAGGCCTCCGGGATGAACGGTTCCAGGTGGTGGACGCATTGATCGTATCGCCGCCACCGCGGTCCTGCGGTGAACGCGCTGGCCGCCGCCACGAGCCTGAGGGCCTGTCCTTCGGGCGCGCTCGGGCGTTCGCCGTTTCCTCCTCCCCCTCCATCCCCATCCTTCTCCTCCTCCTCCTCCTCCTGCTCCCCATCCTCCTCCTCCTCCTCCTCCTCCTCCTCCTCCTCCTCCTCCTCCTCCTCCTCCTCCTCCTCCTCCTCCTCCCCCCTCAACCCCCTGTCCAGTCCATGTTCGGAACCCTGGGCACCGGGCCAGCGGCGCCCCGGGCGCATCGCCCGCCGCCAGCGAGGGAGAGGCTGAGGTCCCCCAGGCCTCGGCAATGGCGCCGGCTCCCCGCGAGGCAAGCCCGCGCCAGGAGGAGGGAGAGGATGAGGAGCGCCAGTGACTCACGAAAACTTCTCCCGCCGACGAGCTTCGCAGACCGCGGGCGGTCGGGAGTGCGCTCGATTGACCAACCTGTCGAGGGCTGCCTCCTAGCAGGTGTAAGTGGTGAGGTAAATATTGTAGGAAGAGAAAACTGATGGGAAGAAGACCAATAATCAGAAGGATAGTACTAATGCAATAAGGCGGAGGAGAAGGACGACGACGATGGCAGCGGCGGCGGCGCCAACGATGGCGACGACGACCATCGTTGGTCAGCGGACGGCGAAGACGACGACGGAAACGACGACGACGACAGAAGATGATGTCTGCGACGACGACGATGACGACGACGAAAACGGCAACGACGACGATGATGATGATGACGACGACGACGACGACGACGACGACGACGACGACGGAGCGCTCGTCGCCGCACGACGCCGCCTAGGGGAGGAGAGACCAGGCCAGGAGGGGGAAATGTGGGAGATGTGGGGATGAGGGAAGGTGGGGAGAGGAGGGACGGGGAGAGATGACGGAGGACGAGGAGGAGGAGGAGGCGGGGTCGAAGGTTCGCAGATCGATGTCTCTGCATGCTTGTGTCCAACCCTTGCTTGGGACCATGCCTCTTACCGAACGAAGGAGGCGGAGGAGGGGAGAAGGAAGGGGAGAAGGAGGAGGAGGAGGAGGAGAAGCCAGGGCGGTGCGCTGGCGCCCGCGCGATCATGCACAATTTCATCCAGGAGCGACGAGTCCATCCTGAAACGTCGGGGGAGAGGGGAGGGGGGCATCACATGATATGGAGGGTAGGCTAAGAGTTAGTCGGCCCGACCCAGCCCAAAAACTGTATGGCTCCTTGGTCAAGCTTACTCCTGCTGCATCTTCTGCCCCGGCTCCTCCCTTGAGAAGCTGGGGGGCAGGAAGGGGACGGGTAGGGCGGACTGATGCCTTCATCGAACTCTTGAGGGGAGGAGGAGGAGGAGGAGGAGGAGGAGGAGGAGGAGGAGGAGGAGGAGGAGGAGGAGGGGGAGGGGGGAGGGGGAGGGGGGGAGGGGGAGGGGGAGGGGAGGGGGAGGGGGAGGAGGAGGAAGGAGGAGGAGGGGAGGGAGGGAGGAAAGTAGGGGGAGGAGAGCAGGGAGGAAGGAGGAGGGGGAGGAGGAGGGGGGAGGGGAGGGGGAGGAGGAGGAGGAGAGGGAATAGAGAGAAAGAGAGAGAGAGAGAGACGCCGACTGCGTCCCCGTCCGCACGGGACGGACACGGGCAGGCTGAGAAGTGAACGGAGAAGGGCGCGCCCAACGCGACCACGATGAGCGGGGGGTGGGGAGGGACGGCAGCCGGCAACGTGAAGCGGGAGAAGGAGGAGGAGGAGGAGGAGGAGGAGGAGGAGGAGGAGGAGGCAGGGGGGGAGGAAGGGAAGGAGGAGGCAAGAGGGGAGGAAGGGAAGGGAGGGAGGAAGAGGAGGGGAGCATCAGAGGGGGGAGGGGAGGGAGCAGCGGGGGAAGGCGTGTGGGGAGAGCTGGGCGGAGGTGCGGCTCAGGCCCGCGCCATCCTCCCCGTCCTGCGCGGAAGCGTCGGCGGGCACCGGCGCACTGCTGCTGGACGCCCACGCGCCACTGGCCGCGTCGCCTTGCGGGGCCAGGTCGTCAGTCCTCCCCCTCGTCTTCGTCGTCGTCGTCGTCGTCGTGGTCTTAGTCGTCCTCGTCATCGTCGTCGTCCTCCTCCTCCTGATCCCCCTCCTCGTCCAGACACGAGGATGCCAGCGATGTTATCCTCCTACCGAAACGGAGGTTTCTGAAGCCGGTTCTGGACAGGTTCTCGTCTCCGCGGCCATGCAGGAGGCTCGACAAAAACTGACGCGGACGTACCCATGGAGGGTTTGATCGACGCCCTTCGAGATCTACGATCGATTCATCCTTGTATTCATGGGGTGGTGGCGCCACTCATCTCATGAACTGGTGTGTATATGTTTACGGGGTGGTGACAGAGCGACTCACATGGACTGGGGCATCATCAAATATGGATTGTCTCTGCTTCTGGGCTGGTTTGTCGCTGCTTCGGGGGTGGTGACAGAGCCACTCACGTGGACTGGGGCATCACCATGTGGGTTGGCTCATGTTGTCTCTGCTTCTGGGGTAGATAGAGACACTCACACGGGCTGGGACATCACCAAGTATGTATGTATTGTTTCCGCTTCTGGAATGGGCTGCTTCTGCATATGAGCTGGTGACAGAGTTACTTACATGGACTGGGACATCATCAGCTATATATTGTCTCTGCCAATGGAATTGATTGTCTCAACTCATGGGTGGTGATTGAGACATTCGCAGGAACTGAAACGGCCTGAGCTGTGTCTGCCGCTGCTGTTTCCTCCTCGCCCTCCTCCTCCTCCTCCTCCTCCTTATCCTCCTCCTCCTCCTCCTCCTCCTCCCCCTCCTCCTCCTCCTCCTCCTCCTGCCTGTCGCCATCGTCCCCTTCCCCCCTCGTCGTCGCCGCCACCGCCGTTTTTGTCGGCGTCTGCACGGCGTCCTCACGTCCCGCAGCCACGCTTCCGGCACCGGAACTTGTTTCACCACGTTTGCAAACATATCTCTGACGTGCATGGCTTCTCTCTCTCTCTCTCTCTCTGAAGCCTTCAGAGACCTCCAGGGGCCAGGATACAGGGTGGCTCTAAGACGCACCACACCCTCCTCCTCGTCCCTTCTCCCACATCCCTCTTCTTCCTCCCTCCTCCTTATGTCCTCCATTTTCCCAACTTGCTCCTACTTGCCCAGACTCCTCCTCCGAAACCCTTCTCCACTGCCCTCCCTTCTCATCTCCATCCTCAACCTCATGTTCGTCACAGTAATCATGATGGCATCGGCAGACTGAATTCTGATACACACGATGCCGAAGCTCTATCGTAGATGGGCGTACCCCACGCGTGAGAGAGTGGCGGTTTGGCGGCACAAGTTATTGAGAGCTCTTGGCTACAACCCCCCGAATAGGCGACACATTCTTGCTTTTTCGAAACCGTCGCGGAGGAAACAAGCCATGACGTCACCTGCCTTGCCACCGCCTATCCTGGGAATTGCTGTTCAAATCCGAGATTTCCACAGAGACCCCGTCCCACGGAAAAACGTCTCGCCACCGCGTCTCCAGCGCTTGAACGCAAAGTTGCCCTTTTCAGGACCCGTGTCGTTTCCGACATTCGACTCTGCGCATGGGATGGGGCTGAGCTCCATGGCGAGGAGTGGGCGGGACGGATGTGATGTCAGACTTGGCGTGAGCGCACCACTCTTGGATCCCCCCCTCTCGTCCGTCCTCCTCTCCATCCTCCTTCTGGGAGGGGGAGAGGCGGAAGATGTCACCGGCGGAGGTCCCTGGGGAGGCCTCCAGGGGCCCCCAAAAGTCCATTCAATCCAAGAGCGTCCCAGCACGGGTTCTCCCCGATCCTCGATCGTCCCCCCAATTTCCATGCCCCCGATTAGAGGCCCCCAACATCGGGTCGGAATACATAGATGGGGTCGGAGGATCGCGCCGCATCGTGGATGCATCGCCGCATCTTCGAAATTATATGATAACGTCTGGTTACGACAATCGGCGGCAACCGGGATGCCGTGCTGATTTCTCTGGACTTCATGGGCTTGTCGGGCTGAAGAGCTGCCAACGCTTGGACACTGTCACTGCAGTATCGAACGCCTTCTAGACATCACAGCGTCTCCTCCTCTCCTCCTCCTCCTCCTCCTCCTCCTCCTCCTCCTCCTCCTCCTCCACCTCCTCTTCCTCCTCCCCCTACTCTTCCTCCTCCTTCTCCTCCTCCCCCTCCCCCTCCGCCTCACCCTCCTCCTCCCCCTCCTCCTCCTCCTCCTCCCCCTCCTCCTTCTCCTCCTCCTCTGTTACCCTCAATCATCCTCACATCATTCCTTCCTTCCTCCATTCCTCGCCTTCCTTCCTTCCTCCTTCCTCAGGACTTCCTCTCCTGATTCTGATTCCTGCCATCCACGATTCTGATTCCTGTCTTCCTCTTCTGATTCTGATTCCTGACTCCTGATTATGATTCCTATCCTTCCTTCCTTCATTCCTCACCATCCTCCTTCCTCTCCTGATTCCTGCCTCCACGGTGCCCCTGCTTCTGGCTGCCATCCTCGCCGTGTCCGAGAAAGACTTGATCATCAGACGCACGTCCCCCCCCCAACACACTCACACACACACACACACATCCTTCTCCTCCTCCACCTCCTCCTCCTCGCCCTCTCGTCCTCCTCCTCCTCTTCCTCCTCCTCCCCCTCCTCCTCCTCCTCCTCCTCCTCCTCCTCCTCCCCCTCCTCATCCTCCCCCTCCTCCTCCTCTTCCTCCTGCTCCTCCTCCTCCCGCACACACACACTTTTATTCCGTCGGCGGCTAGGCAGAGTCACTGCGCTGGCGGTAGGGCGTTGGTGTGTGCACCAAACGCGAACTAAGCCACCATGCAGAAGGGGGGAGGAGGAGGCGCCCCGCGACGGCGGGAGGGATGGGGAAGCCGGGTCCGCTCAGAGCGGGGCCGGGCGCGCGGCGGGGGCGGCGCCGGGGGGGGGGCGACCAGCGGCGGCGGGCCGGCGGCCGGGGAGCGGGGGGACGCCGAGGCTGGCTGCGGGGCAGCGGGCCGGGGCGGGGAGCCAGTGCCCAGCCAGGGCTGGTGACGAAGGCAAGCGAAAACACACACGCACACACACACACACAAATACACACAAGTACACACACGCACACACACACACACACACACACACCCGGCCTGCCGCCGCGTCCATCAGCGCCTTGCATCCTCGGCGGCAGTCTTGGAGGAATTCAACGGTGATGAAGAGGAGGTCAATGCTAGGCCGAATGGAGACACGTTATGTAGCGTCCGTGTAAAGGAACATGGATGCCGATGTAGGCCTGTAGGCCAAAAGTATACCTGGCGGGCGTAGCAGAAAGCTAAATAAACGCTGGAGGCAACGAACAAGACAGCGGGCCCAGAAGGGCAGAGTATACGCCAGCCAGGCCGCGTGAGAGAGACAGAGACACAAAGAGAAGGTAGGTCAGGTCTGGTCAGGTCAAGCCGTAGGCTGCGACAACCCATGGGCACGTGCATGTATGAGTCGGCCAGGACTCCGTCTTTGACGGAAGAGAGGGTATAATATCTATATATACATATATATATATGTGTGTGTAATAGCGGGAGACGAACGATATCGAACGAATCAACGTACAGGTGAAAGCCGAACAAGAGGGATCGAACTACACGCGCACACTGAACTAAGGTGGTAGCAAAAGCTAACCTGCCAAATGTTGGTGCCAAATCGCAATGGGCAACTGCCTCACGGGTAAACTAAGCCGCTCAGAACCTCCTTCACCACTCGTAGCTCTGTCCACCCACCACCATCTTTACTCCAGGTATGCTGACAAATCAACAGGCGACTAGTTGGGGTGTGACTGCAAGTAGGGACGCATGGCATTGGTGATGAAATACCGAAAGAAGCGTGCTACACAATGCAACCGAAAACGGCTGTCGTGGGTGAGGGCACGTGGAGTGCATCGGGCGCTTCACCTCGACGGGCAACTCTCGGGTCGGGCGAAAGGGGGGATAGAAAAGGGGAGGTTTGAGAATCAGCTCACGTCGCTGATTTTCCTGGCGCCTCCCGGCGCCGGAGGCGGCTATGTATCGAGAAATGGGCCTCTCGGTGGGGCCGAAACCAGCTGCATGCAGCAGATTTCGTACCCCCCCCTTTCCCAATCCCCTCGTTTCGTGCCCGACAGGGCAGGAAGAGATGCTGTGAAGGCTGCCCAGCGAGGGCGCCGCCCAGTGAATGAGAGGAGCCGTGCGGCGCACTACGCTGCTGTCTGTGCCCGTAGCCGTGCTGGCGTGTCAAAGAAAACAGAGGCAGCTGCAAATGGCAGCAGCCAGAATTGAGCAGGTACCGACCGTCCCGGCATTCCTATAGTCCTACCACGAACTGTTCTTAGAACCCAAAAACGCTCTAACAACAAAAACAATGTTCTTAGAACATAAACCTGGACCCGATGTGATAAAACAAGGCAGACTCCGCTAGATATGTTCTAAAAACATTTCGTGGGAACCAAAAAAAGGTTCTTAGAACATTATTTGGTGGGGCTATAGGCAAGCCGGGACGCTTCGCCACTGCTTGGCAGGAGGACGCACAGGGTGGGCCTTTACAGGACAGCCCTCCCATTAGCGCACGGGGGACGTGGCGTGACGGCGACGGAGGCCTGGGGGGTAGCCCCAAAGGCCCTCCCCCTCCACAAAAGTACACGTCTGAGGCAGTTTCGCCTTGACGGACCTCCACTTTCACAGGCAAGAGGCCTCCAACGTAGCCCCCGGACGGCCCTCGACCCGAGCCCCCAAGAGAGAACGAAGAGGCCGCGCACAAGGGCCGCAAGAGGGGCCTCCAAGGAGAACCTCGATGTGCCCCTGGGAGCCCTCCCTCCTGGCCATCGCTCGGACGTCCATTCCCTGTGGTTTTTCGGTCTCGTGCGTGGTTGTTTCGCCAAGTGATCAAGGATGCTCCTCGATGGTCCTCGCCGAGGAAAAAACGCACACGTCCGAGCGATGCCAAGCCTCATGGTGTGGCCCCCAGACCCTCAAAAAGCTACCCAGGAGGGCCTCCGGAGGCCCCCAAGAGGCCGCGCACCCAGGCGTTCCGAGAGCCTCGACCTCTCTGAGCCTCTCCCCTCTCGTCCCCTCCGCGGGCGTCCAACCTTTTCTCCCCGCCTCCCTCAGTCCCTCTCCTTGCCATCGCTCGGACGTCCATTCTCCGTGCATTCTTCGATGTCGTGCGTGCTTTTTGTTTCGCTCGATGATCCAGGATGCTCCTCGAGGGCCCTCGCCGAGGAAAAGAATCACACGTCCGAGCGATGCCAAGCTTTGAGCAGGGACCGACCGTCCCGGCATTCCGATAGTCCTACCACGAAATGTTCCTAGAACCCAAAAGTGTTCTAAGAACAAAAACAATGTTCTTAGAACATAAACCCAAAGTGATAAAACAGGACAGTCCCAACCAGAAATGTTCTAAGAACACTTCGTGGGAACCACAAAAGGCTCTGAGAACATTGCTTGGTGGGGCTAGAGGCGAGCCAGGACGCTCCGCCACTGATTGAAGGCTCTGCCGAGGGGGAACGACACGAGGGGGGGCCGGCTCGGGGGGACTTGTTGCGCGGGCAGTACTTACATCCATATCCAGAGCGTCGTGGACTTTTGGGGAAGAGGTGCCGCAACGCCGAGGCGCGCTGGATATGGATAAAATCAAGCCTCTTGGGGCCAGATTTTTATCCATATCCAGTGCGTCTACGGTTTCTGGGGAAGAGAGCCCAAGAATCGAAGACGCACTGGATGTGGATATAACTATTGCCCGCATGTCGACTCGGAATTGGCGCCACATTGCCGACGGATCGCCGACGAGCCCCCGATGCTCCGCGAAACCGGACGCGCCCTGCCGGCGCTGAATCATGGGCGGTCGAGGGCCGCTGCGTCCCCCCCCCGGAGCCAGCCCCCCCCCCCCTGTCCTCGCCCCGACTCCCTCCCCTCCCCACTTCCTTCGGCTGCACGCAAGAGTGACCCTGGGTAAGAGTGACCTTTGGTGCGCGGCTGTTGGGGGGGCGCGAGGGGGCCAAACCCGAGCGCGCAAGCCGCTGCTACCGCATCGCGTTCGGCGATCGGGGGACCCCATTGGGCCCGCACCCAAGGTCACTCCGGCGAAAGGTCACCCTTGCGTGTAGTCGATCCCTCCTCGAGGCGCACGTCCGGTCCTGAGGGGCCCGTGCCGGGCTCGCCGGGCTCGCCGCCCATTGGGACCCGGCGCTCGATGAGCACGGGCCGCAGGTACCGATCCCTGAGCGACCCCAGCTGGCCCTGGACCTCGGGCGCAGGCCAACATTTCCGCATACGCCCTCTCTCCCCCCCCGCCTCCCTGCCTCATCGTCCACCTTGTCAAACCTCATCCGCCTTGCTTATCTCTCCTCCTCGTCCTCCTGATGATCTCCTCCTCGTCCTCATACTCGTCGTCGTCGTCGTCCTCCTCCTTTCCCTCCTCCTCCTCCACCTCCTCCTCCTCCTTGTCCTTCTCTTCATCCCCCTCATCCGCCCTCATCCGCCCCAATATCATCTCCCTCCTTTCTCACGCAAATGCTTCCTCCTCCTCCTCCTCCTCCTCCTCCTCCTCCTCCTCGTTATCGTCTTCCTTCTCCCCTTGCTCCATCCTTCTCTCCCTCCTCCGCCTCCCCCGCCCCCGCCCTGCTCCCTCCCCCGGGCTCGCGCCCGCCGGGGCCAGGGCTCGCCTCGCACGGGAGAGCGGAGCTCAGGTGCACCATCCGGAAGAGGATGAACAGCCGCCTCTGCGACTCCTGGCGTCGAACGGGCGCGGCCGCGGAAGGCACCGGGGGCGGAGGTCCGCGGCTCACAGGGGGAGGGGGGCTCCACCTTCTCCTGCTCCTTCTGCTCCTCCTGCTTCTGTTCTCCCTCCTCCCTCCTCCGCCGCCTCCTCCTCCTCCTCCTCCTCCTCCTCCTCCTCCTGCCTCCCGTCTCCTGTTTCCTTCTCCTTTCTTCCTTCTATCCCCGCCTCCCTCCCTCCCTCCCTCCTCTTCCCTGCCCTCATTCTTCTCCTCCGTGAAATTCCTTTCTATATCTCCTCCTGCTCTTCCCTCCTCCTCCTGCCCCCTGCTGCCTGGCTGATCCGCGGCCCCGCCCGCCCTGTAGGGCAGATGGCCACCAGGGCGCGGCGCGCTGCATCGATTCCAACCCCTGGCTTCGGGAGAGAGCCACTCTGCGGGGATATGGGTTCGGTCTCTGGGCGAGCGTTGTGAACCTGCCGGAGGGGATCCTGCTCCGGGTAGGCCCCTCTTAGGCTTTCTTTTGATCTCCTCTAGGTTACCTCTGGTATGCCCCTGGCTTTCCTTCGGGCTACCTCTGGGCTTGCCGTGGGTGTCCTCTGGATTGCCTCTGGGCTTCCTCTAGAAGGATCCCTCTACGTGACTCTTAGGTGTTCTCTGGTTGTCCTGAGGTTTTCTCTGCTTGTCCTCTGGTTTCCTCTGGATGTCCCTGGGTTGTCTGTGGTTGCCGATATGTTTTATATGGATCCCCGTCGGTTTTCTCAGCTTGCTATTTGGCTTCCTCCAGGTTTGATTCAGACTGCTAGCGACTATAATCGTTCCCATCAAGCCTTGTGATTTGGATGACTCACGGGGTATGTGTTCGCGTGCGTGGTTGTGTTTCCTCTGCGCGGTCGCCCTAGTCCTTCTCTATCGCCAATACCACCGTCGAGCAATTATCACGATGACTTCGTTCTCTGGACCCGGGAAGGGCCCGAAGCACTCGCCGAGCGTGGCCAAACGCCTTCCATTAGTTTGTTTTCTCCGGCAAGGGCGGGGCTGGGTCTCCTCCCGCTCAGCACCCTCTTCCTCCTCCGCCCTGGTCCCTCTTCCCCATTAGCCCCCTCCTCCCCTCGTCCAGGAATCGACCTCCCTCCCCCTTCTCAGCCTCCCCTTCGCCCCCTCCTTCTCATCCCCTTCCCACCTCCATCCCTTTCCATGATCAATAACTCTTCCCTGTCTCACCCCCAGACCTGCCGGTAAGGCGGGCCGGCGCTTTGACAGAGACTTCCTCAGCATCTATGACCCTGAAGCTTGAAGTGAGCAACAGCTTCACGGATGGAGGGCGGGCCATTTTTTTAATGTGGTTCTCGTCCTATCGTCGCGAACATTCGTCTTGAAAGGTGGCGACAGCCTCACGGAAGGAGGGCGGGCCGTTTTCAAACTGTGGTTCTCCTGAGCGCCGCGCACATTCATCTCCAAACTTCGCAACAGCTTTACTGATGGAGGGCTGGCCGTTTTCAAAACGTCCTTCCCGCCTCAGAGCAACGCACATCCGCATTCAAATTCGCAACTGCTGTTCTCGTCTTAGCGCCGTGAACAATTGCCTTGAAAGTTTGCAGCAGCTTCAAGGACCCGTTGGTTGAATCCCAGAGATGATTTTCTGCACGATTACAAGTTGTCAAAGCGAAAAAGTCACGTTGATTCGCGGTGCTGAAGTCATAGGAGTAGTGTTCTGGCACGACTTCGGAATGCAAGGAAGCAAAAGTCACGTTGAATCGCGGCGCAGCAGTCACATGAGTTGTGGATTGGCACGGTTGACGATTCGAACGTTGTCTCCCAATGGCGGCAGTTCCCGCCATGGGAATAACATTCGTGCTGGGGTCTATGGGGAGGGAACTACGGGGAGGTTGTATTGCAACACCGTTGATGCGTCTTGGGGTTCGGCTGGTACCCCTCGCCCTCATCGTCGCTGCCCTCCTTAAGGGATCGAACTCCATACACCGAGGCTTTTTCCGGCCATGCGTTGAAATTTGCACTGGAGAATGGATCCTGGTGGATACGGGACCCTAATGTATACATGTTTCATTGTTTCCCCCGGACATCGAGGAACAAAACTGTACGCCACACCACCCCAGCGTCGTCCCCGACCCTCAAAAAGTCATGGAATTGAAAAACAGCCCGCCACTGGTAATGTATATGTTCCAGTTTCCGACTCCCCTTCCCGAGCGTCCGACCGCACGCGGCTCCTCCAGCCTGTCCATCACCTGCGCGGTCTCCGCGCCGACGGCGCCGAGTGCGCGGCCGAGGGCGCGGCAGTCCTCGGGAGGGGGAGGGGGAGAGGGGGGAGGGGGAGGACGAGGAGGAGGAGGAGGAGGAGGAGGAGGAAGAGGAGGAGGAGAAGAGGAGGAGGAGGAGGAGGAGGAGGATAGGAAGAAGGAGGAGGAGGAGGAGAGAGCAGGAGGAGGAGGGCAGGAGGAGACGGAGGAGGAAGAGGAGGAGGGAGGAGGAGGAGGGAGGAGGAGGAGGGGGGGGGGTGCACGCGCTAGGCGGTAGATGGGCGAGTGGGGGGGGGGGGGGGAACGCGCGCTAGACGCTAGCTAGAAGGAGCGGAGATCTCCTCCTGTCATTCGAGGCCAATTGTTCCGCTTCCCCTGTCCTCGACCTGCCATTCGAGCGCGCCTCCCTCTCTTCCTACCCGTTCGAGTTATCCTGCTCTTCTTCCTTCTATTCGAGCACTCTTTGCTGTTGTCTTCTTCTTCTTCCTCCTCCTCCTCCTCCTCTTCGTCCTGCTGCTCCTCCTCCTCCTCCTCCTCCTCATCCTCCTCCTCTTCCTCCTCCTACGACGGCACTACGAAAGTGTTGGCCCGCTTCGTGCATCCACCAAGACACGTCTTAGCCGGGAGCGCTGTTGCGAATTCGAGCTGAAGAAGTGCCGACATCTACTTCCGAAGAACTTCTGGGCGGGGGCGTCAATCCGAAATCGAAACGACCCAAAGGGTGTCGAAATCCAGTTTTCAGGAAGTCCCTTGGCGGGAGCGCCATGTCGAAATCGAACCCAGAAGTCTCCGAATCTTGTTTCGGGGGAAGTCCGACGCGGGAGTGCCATTTCGAAATCGAACCAGATCGAACCAGTAAGGTTTCGAATTCTAGTTTGGAGGAAGTTGGGCAGGAGCACCACGTCGAAATCAAACCCGAACAGTTCGAAGTCGTTTTGAAATGTTGTTGTTCAAGAAGTCTCAAGCGAAACCATCGTGCCGAGATGACCACACTGGTTGGCATTCGAAGTGCTCACTTTTTTACCAGAGGTTTCGAAAGTGTGGCTTTCGACTGAGACGTCCTCCAAAAAAACAACTTCGAACGATTTCGAAACTTCTGGGTTCGATTTCGAAATGGCGCCCCCGCCCAAGACTTCCTTCAAAAAACAGTCGGGTTCGAATTTGAAAGGCCAGTTCCGCCCGATACTTGAGCAAAACAATGCTTGAACAAAACGTTGTACTGTGGCCCCGCGGCCTAACGAGCCCCTCTTACGTCTCCTCTCTTATCGCGGGCGCAACGCCACTGACGGCGTCGTACCCGGGCCCCGTCGCATTACGGGAGGCGCTGCATTTTGGCCGAACTTTCGCAAGTGCGAACTAATGTACACAATTATTGCGTCCCCGAGGGAACGGGCCTTTGTACATGATGCCATTTTCGCGTCCCCGAAGCCATAAACATACGCAACTTACACCGTATTCGCAGTGCCAGGCCAAGAATGTTCTCAGGCGCCCGAAGACGGTTCCAAGACGGCCCAAGAGGGCCCAAAGAGGCCCCAACAACGATCCAAGAGGCCTCCCGAGAGAGCCCCAAGAGGCCAACATTATAGATGTTACAAGATGTTTTTTGAAGGAGTTTGGCCTTCTCGCATGTTCGGCTTTCCGACGTTCCAAGATGGCTCAAGAAGCTCCCAAGATCGCCCCCAAAAACCCACGACGCCTCCAAGAGGGCCCAATGACGGCCCAAGAGGGCTCCAAGATGGCCCAAGAAGCGCTCCAGATGGCCCACGAGGGCCCCAAGAGGGGCCCAAGCAGGGGACCACGAACCGAACATTCTATATTTTGCCGGGAGAAGCCCCCAGGAGGCCCCAAGAGGCCGCCAAAAGGCCCCAAGAGGCCCCACGAGGCGCCCAAGACGCGCCCAAGAGGCCTCCAAGAGGCCCAACAGATACCCTTCGAGGCCCCAAGAGGCCCCCAAGAGGCGACCAAACCCGCTCCAAAAGGCCCCCGAGAGGCTTCCCACTACACTCCAACACAGATACAAGAGGCCTCAGACCCACAACCCAGGCACGGTGGCGGGATGGGCCGAAGGCCAAAAGGATAGCACCAACGTCTCATTATGCGCTGATGATTCCTATCCGTCCCCGCATGATGTTCCCAGATGCGCCGAGGCAGCGCCGAGACGCACCGACGCGACTCTGATATATCCCATTATGATGGAGAAAAAGCCGGCAGCAGCAGGCGAAGCCCTTACGGAAAATTATCAACGTCAGGCTCAGCATAACCAGCATCTGCAATAACATCATCAGCAGCATCACCACCCTCAACAGCGGCATCATAATCAGCATTGACATCATCACCGCCATCAACATCGTCACCATCATGATCCTCATGATCATCATTACAACCATGAGCATCATCATCATCAGCAACATCAGCAACATCAGCATCATCAGCATCGTCGTCGTCATCATCATCACAACCATCATCCTCATCATCGTCATCGTCATCCTCATCATAACTCCCAAATCTGGAGGCACGAGAGGTCACACGTGACGGCCTGGACTTGCCGCAAGCAATTCGATATCCTCCGAAAGCCACATTCCATGGGCATGTGGACGATGAAGCGGGGCCGAACGAAGTAGCCACCACACAGAAAAACTAACATTATTAGGAAAACCACTGTGCTTGTGACACAGATAACAGAACAGTTACACGGATTGATCGTACGAGACTGCGTGCCCCCTTCTTTCAAGCATGGTCAACGGCGCCCCGGTGTTCCAGGCAGCCTGCCAGAGCGTGGGCCCGGTCGCGGCGAGGCTGGACCCCAGCCGAGAGCAAGTGCGCCTTGGCCCTGAGCTCGCTAACTGTTTTCCTGGCATGCTCCTTTTCCTGCTTCGCCAAAGTCCAATTTGGGCACGACTGATGTCCTGGCCGCGTGGCTGGGTCGCCTGCCTCCTCCTCCTCCTCTTCCCTCCCCCTCCTCCTCCTCCTTTCGATTCTCTGCCCCTGTTTCTGTTTCCTTCCACTGGCAAGTCACGCTGGCCCATACCTTTACGGAGCTGGGCTATGCTTGCACGGAGCTGGGGGGGCGGGCTCGCTCGCCAGACAGTATGATTTAGCAGCAATGGGGCTCTCTTCCCCTAGGCCACAGTTCTAAGTCAATGCCGCGACGAAACGCATCGAAGCCCTGGCGTTCAAATCACGCGCGAAGCCATACTTTCCGACGTCTGAAGGGTACCACCTCAACTACACAACCGAGGCACGAACCACGAGCTACCCATGACCACCCCGAGCCTTGACTCGGGGAGATGTCAGACTCGGGTTCGGGGGCTCGGGTTGGCTTGGCGGGGCCATCAGAAAAAATGGAGAACACAATCTGAAATTTCACGCGAATTCCGCTGCAGACCTCTGATACAAATTGAGCCGTCAAAATCCAGAACGGGCCCGTCAAAAAGCGTCGGCAAACCCGAGCTCCGGCGAACTCCAGCATTCAATGCCCCCGAACCGAGCCTTGATGCTCTGCAATTCATGAGTGCTTCTCATACCATCTTGTTGGCTCTTGCGAATCGAGGTTAATCGGCGCTGGATCGACGCAAAATAAAACTACAACCCGCTGGATTAGAAAATGGAGACCGTGGGAATCGAGAAATACACAGTTGGCCTCCCGTCAGGCCACGGGGCCCCGGGACAATGTTGGAGTTGGGGCCGGTTTGGGAATTTCAGATGCATCTCTCACTCCTTTGAATATCGTAACGACCAAGTGGGGTCAGCGTCTGAAAGTGCGATTCCGCCTGAGACTTCCTCAACAAAAACTTTCAGATCGCCTTCCAGGGCGATCTGAAAATTTGCCATGGCATCTGAAAGTGGCGATTTCGCGTGGGATATCCCCAGAAAAAATCAGACCCATCTTCATGCCGCTTGAGAATGGCGATATCGCCTGAGAATCCCTCGCAGGGTATTTTCCGGCCGCTTTTCACGCCGCCGAAGAGTGGCGACTTCGTTTGGGCTGTCCTAACAACCGCGCGTCTCGTCCATCCCTGCGTCGCCGTTCCTCCTTTCGGGTCACGAGTCTGTCCGGGAGTCATCTTGGGATCGATCGAATGTCGAAGCTTGACGTTCTATCGATTGGCGACGACCCAGGGGTTGTTCCCTCGCATAGTGCCGATCACCACTTTTGAATCCAGGGGGTAGTAATCGACGCCAAATCGGCGCTATCTCAACGATCACCAGAACCTAATCGACGCGAGTGGACTCTGAAGAAAGAAAACGGCGGTATACGCAGCTCCCTAAATTTGCGACCGAACGCCAGCTCCCCCGGCCCGAGCACTGTACTGATGTTCCGGGGCCCTGGCTAGGTCGGGCCTGTCCCCCTACAGGCGGATTTTGGACGAAAAAAACAACATACCCCAAACATACCCCCAACTAGTAAAAAAAAAAACGAAAAAAAGTCCCTAGATTTTTCTTACTCGGGGATGGACAGACCTCCCTTTAGTCGGAGGTGAGGGGGTGAGATCGAAGTGGAACGGAGAGCCCCCCTACCGGGAAATCGATTTCGGTTTCGTGTTCGTGCGTGCCGTGCGGGCGAGG